TTGTTTCTATTTCGGACTCTTACCCGTCATCGCATTTTCCAAAAAAAAACTTGAGCTAAGCATTGTGTATTAAATATTGGGCGGCCGTATAATAGGGTAGGGATAATATCAGAAAACCCTCACTGGTACGACCAAAAGGTGGCCCGGCCTCTTAACAGAGGTGGCTGGTTAATCGGAGTTTTATTTACAGTATTTAATTTTACGGACAATAATTTCGGGACTTTGATCAACTGAGGGCTTTATAGAACAGGGGGTGGCCACATAATAGAGGTTAGACTGTAATAATAGGTAATAACAACACTTCATTTATATGACGCCAGAATTCAAAAGACCAATGGCCTTTTACGGAACGTAAGAACAAAGATAAAAAATATACAATTACGGAAAATTATCTAACAATTGGATAGCAGAACGAAATGATAATTGTACATACTCTGATTCATGTACAAAACAGCTTCTTTGAAATGGTGTGATTTTATAAGAGATTTAAAAGAATCCAGCGATTCTGCTTGTCCGCTCTCTCATCTAGTAAAGTGATCAACAGTTAAGAAGGTTGGTCGTCCTCAGCTCTCTTAGGATTCCGATATGTGAAAGGGTCGGAGGTGCTCGTCCTCTCGGTCAGGCCGCTTAGGGGTGTAGATCACAGATTTTGATCTCATTTAAGACGTTCAGGAAAAAATGCACTGTTTAGTCTAGCCGTCAAGTTATTTTCTTAGAGTTGCGAGTGAACAGAAAAGAAATAACGCTGACATACTTTTAAAATCTGTTTAGCATCATTAAAAATCATTTTTAGCTTGCGAGCAGGTTCTCATGTGCTGCGGCACGAAAGATGACGCCCCAATAGATGAGCTGGTGAGGCAAGCGAGTCGCACTGTAGTCTAAACTTGTCTGTCTGTATTTCAGTGTATCTCTGAGGAGAGTTGTTAGTTAGTTACCTTGGTGGGGTATTAAGCAAGCCTCTTATGGAAGTAGGCTTGTGTCAAGTTTGCTTTGAAGCATCTCTTTCATAGAGTTTCATCTTGTCGTTCGAGAGCCAACCGTGTTCTTTCAATTGCAGCTGTTCTTCCATAACTTTCCTTGCCAAAGGAGTTAAGCTTTTGTCTTGGACCTGAGAAATGAAAATAAAATCACCATTGATTACTTTACTGGCAGCCTTCAATTGGTGTAGGAGATGCGCTTCAAAAAGAACAATATCATTGGTGTAAAATGCAGCCAGCCATTTTACGAATTTCACTCTCGGTGAAAAAGTCCCAAGGCTAAAAGACCTTGGTAAGGCATCATCAGCACATTTTTCGACAAACATTTCATCGCTCTCCTGTAGTATGTCATCGACATTTGATCGGAGATGCTCGAAAGGACACCAGTTCATGACGATGATGTTGTCCGGAAATAGCTGAGCTTTCACGGGGCCAGAGAGGATAACGTCAGAAAAATACTCTCTTGAGCATATCTTTATCCCCACAGAACTGGTCTTGGATATTTCAGCCTCACCATTAAATTTCTTTTGAACATGGTATGCCAAGAAATCGAACTCTAAAAGTTTTGTTTTATCCGCAGAACTTGCAAGATCCGCAGGAGTCGTGAATCGTTCTCGTTGTACACTGGGATAATGTTCTCTGACATATTTTCTGGCATATTCTCTCAGTTGTCGCACAAGACCTTGTCCTCGAAGCTCGGCCAGAATTCGTTCCGCTCGACGGATAAATGTCCGACCTTCATCTACCACAAAGCATGCTGTTAAACCGATAAGTTTGTCGCCAGAATAAGCAAGTAGAAAAACCAAATTGTCCTTCTGAAGCCATTTGTGAAATGTTAACGGAAGATAGTCCAGTCCATCGTAAATTCCTTCCGATAGTTTTACAACTGCATCGAAATCGCCAAACTGGGCGAGGCGGAATGTTAATCCAGGCCTTGTAGCATTCGTACCTAAACAATGGAATCCAAATTGCAAAGCTTTAGTTAAGACTGAAAATCAATCAAAGTATCCGCTGTAAAAACTCAGCAACCAACGACAACGAGAGATATTGCAGTTACCTAGGAGTAAGAGAAGGTAAAGGTAAGAGAGTTGATCCCCATATAGACCTAATTCTCGATGGAATCGAGTTATTTTAGATATGGCATACAGTCCTCCCACAGTTAATGTGGTTATCATCTGCGCCGCGCAGATACATTTCTGAATTCCGGTATGATCTAAAAAAATGATTAACATCAGGATAAGACCTACATGGGAGGTTGACTCGCTAACGCTTCTTCTCTCTTTCGACCTCTCTGTCTAGGAGTTAGTATTTTGTTAAACTCCTAAAAGTGCGTTCTCTGGCTCGCTCATTCTACATGTCCTTTGTCTTGAGTACTACAGCCTGCGTGCGGGCGTTAACTATTTCCTTTCACATGGAAAATTTAAGTGACATCCTCCTGATCCTGACTCGCGGATTCAAACCGTAGATTAAATAAGCAAGTCTGTGCTTAATTTCAAATTTTGATACTCTTGGGCACTGAAATATTCACTTATCAAATCATTAGATATATTGCTACAATGCTGGATTATCGCGGTACGAAGTGGGCACTCACGCACGCGAAAACTGCTGCGACCTCCGTCGTCAGACTACCCTGTGAGCAGAGTTACTTCGATCTTCCGCAGATACCGACGTATTAAGGAAAGATCCAAGCGAGTCAGCTCGACGGGTATATCGAGTTATTTGCATGAGTTAAGTCAATAAGCCAATATATCAAATGCTGAGTCGCTTCGATCCTACTTGTATGTATTCCTCGTTCTGAAGAGAAACGCTCATTAATTACATACAGGCAAAGACGTAGTCCTCGTTTTACAATAAGCACCAACTGCTTAACGAAATACCTTCATAAGCGTATTAGCTAATTTTGTATTCATCCACCGCGGACCATGTTATCGGCTCTGCTTGGTCGGGTAGTCTGATCGAATTTGCCCACGAATCTCGCCAGTTCGAGGTAAGATGGAACAAAAAATAAAGTACCACTTAGAATATGTAGGCTACTTACCAGCAATAGCTTCCATATCATTTCAGCTCATGGTTCATTTGCCCTCCGATCCCGCGAACGACATCGACAGCTCCAAGAGCATATACTGCTGGCAGTCTGTTTTTCTCTCGAAATTCAGCAGGGTTTTCCGGTTATGAGGAGTGACGCTTTAGCGTAAAGGGGAATGGGTCAAGACATGCGCGCGGCACGCACGAGAAGTTTTTTCTCGTCTCGCCTTCTTCCCCACTCGGCCACTGCCATAGCACCCTTTTGTACCGTTGCAGTTATGTCCTATGTAGCAGACATGTCCTCTGACGTAATGTGATATACGGAGCCAATCATATCATGTGTTCTATCTAATAACACGCAGCATAAGACTGGTAACTAAACTCCGTTGCAGTTGGGTCTTCGAGCAAAATTGATTTTTGGAGGGG